TATATGTGACATTGCTGTGCCGAAGTGTGTTCCTCAGTTGTGTGAAGGTTCTTGTTAAGTATTTTGGTCTTTGACTATAAGTCTGATCTATAGAGTATTTTCAAATGATTATGGCTGTCTGCCTTCTGTCAATAGGTATGAAACTAGAATATTTAGTCCATTTTGAAAACGCATGTACCTGTGTTTTGTATCTTCCCTCTTCCTCTCCACCCCCAGCAGTGTGTATTTGTTGAATACTTTCAGTCTGGGAGTGTTTTTGCCTTCTACCTCATCATGGAGAGGACACAGAATGCACTTCATGAAAGGAGGGCATTGACTCTTGATCTGTGACAGAGGCTGCTGTGCCTCCATTAAAAAAAACCCAACCCTCAGACACTGAAAGGGAGGGAAATGCTGGCTTGTTATCAGGCTTCAGATCAGTAACTATAATTTCTGTGCACTTCTAGAACCGTTACTGCAGAATCTTGTAGAAACCTATCGGAAAGTGAACTCTACCACTTTGCTCATCAGTGGCAGGAAAAAGGCTTGATAGTTGATTCTGAGATTGATTCAGATTTCTTCATGAAGGAAACAGGTTGGCCCTAGCATCCAAGCTATGGTTTCATTATCTCAGATGGATTGAAATGAAATACTGTTACTAGCTTGGCAGTTTCAAACACAATTTACTTTCTTCTCTTTTTAGACAACTGTGTCACAATGACCTGTTTTATTTGCTTGTGTTTATCATTAGATTCACTTTATCTTATGTCTGTGTTAAAGTAACAAATAGTAGAATACTTCTCTACTATTAACATTCTGTGGGAATAGAACATGTTCTTTCTTGTGTAATTAGACTTAATAGATTCTTCTACACAGTTAGTTGCTAATTAATGGACTGCTTCATTCAAGGCATTTTTTTCATTTTGCTCTGTATAAAAAGTTGTCTTGGTTTTAGGGGAGACTTTATGAGATCATGACAGGAAGTGAAGGTACTGAAAATGTTTATATAGCTTTAATTTTGTAAAGAAGTTCTTATAATTCAAAATGTCCTTTTGTTTCTGTGAATTATACTACAAATCCTTTTGAGGTGGTTGCCCCTGATCTGTCTGTCCTCCCTCGAGTAGGAAGGTTCTGTAGTTCTTTACAACTCCAGTGGGATGGCAGGTTTACATTTAAAAAAAACCCTCTTTGACAACATTCTGCTTATTCCTTAAGTTTTGGCAAAACGCTAGGATCAGCAAGCTGTGGCAGATAGCCCAAATAACTTCTTCTTTTCACAACTGTTGCAAGAGTTTCAAGTTACTGACTTGAAAATACAGCTTTATGGGTAGGGAGAACTACTTCCTAGCTTCCTAAGGAAGGAGTCTACATATTGTCTCTCTTGACTTTGGCCCACAGTAAGCTTTGAGCCTGTTGTCCAATTTTGAGCAAACTTGGTAAAGGAGTCTAAAGTGTAGGTTCCTGTAATAGAGATGGATGGAGTTTGGCTACAAGAGTAACCACAGCCTGGTTTTGTCTCTTGCTGAGCTAGGCAATCACCAGCATAGGGAAGGGAACGTAAGGGAGTTGGATAACGTAGTGGGCTGTAGGACTAGAAGATAAAAAGAACTGAGGATTTCGTAGCTAGATACGGGAAGTTGTGGTGGGAAAGCTTAGTGCATCGATATCACCTATGAGGTGCAACGCTGTTGAAAGCCAGAATTTAATCTGTTTTGTTAATTCTTCTGCTAATGGAACTACTTATTTTTGAGTTTTTGAATAACATAATGAAAATTGTTCTGTGTGCCTCTTGGTATATGTTGCTGCACAGCTAGTTCTGACTTAAGGCTACTTTGTTTTTCACTGTTCTTGAAGTTCTTTATCTATTTTGTCAGTGATTTTCAGCAAAAAGAATAGAGTTTTTTCTGATCTGCATAATCTGATGTGTTCCCAGCTCTATAGTACTACCCTTCTGTGCTAAGCAGGCAGTTATTTGTTGTCCAGAGATGCTTTTTTATTTTTTGATTTGCCTTTTTGTTGAGCCTTTCACTTGAGCAATGCAACCTGTATGTGCATTTTATCTGTTAGTACCTGAAGCCATGTTTTGCAGCTGCATTAGTGGTGTTACGCACAGTCAGCCTTTACCTGAACAATGTTACGTGTTCAGTTCTATCTGCAGTTGAAGAACTGTATTGTATAAAATGCTGAAGATTGTATTTAACTGTGCTGTTTATGCCTCTGGCAAATTACACACTAACGTTCATCAAGAGCTATAGCTATTTGACTTTTCAGTAATATGGGAAGGACTTAAAGGTGGTTCGTTTGTTTTAAACATTAATATGGTTTATAGTGATTTGTTTGGCTTTCATTATTATTCCTTCCTGATCCAGGAAGTGATTTATTCTTTCCCAAACCCAAAATGACAACTTGATATCTTTGAGACATTTTAAATATGGACTTTCTTGGCTTTCTGATATGATGTGCACATAGTTTTTATACAGGTATTTTTGAAATGGTGTGAAAATTAATGATTTATTCATATGTCCAGCATACAGTTCTTACTCAAATGCTTGCATGGAGTAATATCTTGGTTGCATGACTAGTTCCAGAAGGTGCATGTATCAAGTAAGGAGTTGCTAAATGGAAATATTTAGCCCAAACAGAGTGTGCAGATAGGTCATGTTTGTCCTGTATTTTGCAAAAGCAACACATAGCATGTGTTTTTGATACTACTACTACAATTATCACTGCTAGCAACAAATAGCAGCTTACCTCATTCCACCAGCAAACTAGTTTACTGCTTGTCTTTCTTTTGAAATAGTTTTATGCCCATGATTTTATAACTATCTGCTTGTATTCCAGAATTTTATTTTTTAAGAGGAAGAATAAACCTTATCATTAAAACAGAAGCAGCAAAATCTCTGCAGTTATTAAATATGTAAGATTTTGAAAAATGAAGAAAAAAAATCTACAATAGCTTTAAAATTTTGGAGTTTTACCTTTTTGGCAAAATTTATTTCTTTTTTACTATTGACTCTCACCAAAAATTTTGTTTTCTCCACTCGTTATCATTGATATTCTATGAGAGTGAATAGCATATATGGTGATGAGTTCTTACAATTTAATCATAAGTGTTGTGATATTTCATTATTTTTACCCTTAAAATGCACAGTTCCTGGAGCCAGATAATTGCATGTGAATCTCATATTTTTCAAGAATTTTTTTGTGTTTAATTTTTTTAATTCATTCAGAATACAAAGGGTCAAAAACCTCATCCTCTTCATTATTTGAAATTTCTGATTGAAAGCAGATTTTAAAAAAAATAATTTGAGGACCCAGGGTATATTTCAGTTTTTGTGGTTGTAATTATATCACTTTTACAAGTAGATTCACTAACAAGGCTTTTTGTTAATCATGTTAATCTTGGTGGTGTATAGGGACAAATCTAGAGTAGCATCCATGTAATTTACTGTCTAGTTAAATGAGGCAGACATAATTGGAGAAAAAGTATTCACGTATCTTAAAATGCTAGTAATGCTATAACTGTAGATTTTTGGGATGGTGACAAAAAAAAAGGAGGGGAAGATGGCCCAGGAAGGTGTGCTAAATGGAAAAAGATATGAAGGTCAGTGGGAAAGTGGAGCAGGTATGGCATTGTGCTATGATGAAGAGATTGGGGAGATGATGACAAGAAGTCCTAACCTTGGTTAGGGATGAAAAAAGTGTTGTTGGAATGTATCTTCAGCTGGTTTTTTTGTATCTTCTTTCTTTACTGGGTCTGGCTGTTTTTTTTTCTTCCATTTTTCTTGACAGTTAAGAGAGGCAGGGAATTTAAGATAACGTCAGTGTTTGCATATTATGTGTGGGTTTGGATAATGTTAGTCTCCCTTGACTGCCAGTGTTCAGAGGGATTGCTGGGTGGCAAGTGGTGTTTTAACATTGCGTATCTTCTTACTGTCACTGCCTTCTTCAAATCATTATTTGTATGAGTGACAAACTAGCTCCACTCTTTGCCTTCTAACTGGCATTTCAGTTCTGTTGCTTTTTTTGATCTAACCATGTTCATTCTACTTCTGTTTACTCCCTGTGGCACTCTTCCTCTAACTGCAGTTCAGTGCTACCATGCTTGATATTCCTTGGCCAGCTGACAGCTCACTTATCTAATGCACGTGGAGCCTAACAGTTTCATAGACAGGTACTACTTCTTGTCCTGGGCTTCTGGTCAGTAGGGTTTTTTTCCCAACCTTTATAATGAACTTTCCCCTGCATGTAGATCAGCAGAAGTAATGGCTTCACAGAGGGGTATGGACTCTTCCTGTTTAAATTTCTAACATACAAGTCTGACTAATGTTAACATGTTTAGTCATTTACTTGTTGGCTGATCTAGCAGAAATGTTAGTCAAGCATTCGTAGATCATGGATGGAGTTTTAGTTTCTGAATAAACAAAATACCACCAGTTCTCCCAGCAAATCTGAGTACTTTGTCCTCAGACTTGCTGTCAGTATTTTTCTGAAAATACACAAGCAATCCTTAGTTGCCAAAATTACAGTTTTGAACAAATGTATGTTGTTTAGAAACATTTTACTTTAAAGTTAAAAAGTATTTTTCCATTTGTATTGTGTATGTTCAGTTATATAGCCCAATACTTCATTCTTTATCTACTTAATGTTTACAGTAATTCACTGAAAGCACGAACTCTGATAGCAGGCTCAGTTGAAGGCAGGTATTTTAGCCAAAAATTCTGCTACTGTTAATATTTAAGCAGTTTGTAATGCACAGAAATATTTGATTTATCACACATGTTTTACAAAAACTTAGAACTGAATCAATCTGTGTTCCCTGAACTGTAGAATGTCAAATGACAAGAGCACTTATATCAATCAGCATGGTTAGAATTTCAACACAGGAGCTTTCTGCGTTACGTATTAAGTGATCTTGTTTGTCTTGATTAATTTTCTACTGCATATTTACATGGCTACTAGAAAACAGAGACAGTGGGAGAGAGAGAGATGCATGTAACTGTTTTTGTAATTTTTTTCAGGTATTTTTAGCAGCAATGATGTAGCAGTATCATTTCCAAATGCAGTATCTGGCTCAGGATCTAGCACTCCCGTTTCCAGTTCTCATTTACCTCAGCAGGCTTCAGGCCACTTGCAGCAAGTGGGAGCTCTGTCACCTTCAACTGCGCCTTCTATAACTACTGTTGTTGCTGCAACTCAGGTAAACTATCACAAGATAGCAAACCATGTTATTGACCTGCTTATTTTCAATGTTAAAAGAAACAATAATTTGTTTTGGAAATAGGTTAATAAACATTGAATTTATTGTGAAAATGTTATAGTGGCTAGAAATTCCCCATAATATTACATAGTCCCATCTTTGTAAAGCACATAGATTTTTAAAAATGGCCTGTGGAAGTGTGTAATAATAGTGGCTATATTATGACTAGTAGCATAACGCTGATTACAATTTGTCAGTGCTCTAACATCTGTTATCAGAACAATGCTTTAAGAAAGGATTTAAAAGAGAAAAACAAAAATTTTCATGTTTCATGGAAAATGCTGGTATCAATTATAGAACAGAGGGGTTTATGTGGGAGATTTGACAAATGGACAGCTAAGGCTAGCCCTTTCAAAGAGGTGGCCAAGGCTGACATCTTGATAGCAAATGAAAGTTTTATATAACATAGATGCTAAACTTTTGTATTTGAAAGGTCGTATGAATGAAGATACGTAGTGCATGTTTGATGGTGAAGGGATAAGGGAGGCGCTGGAGGAGTGCAGGAGGGCGACATAGTCAAAGTAATGAACCAGAAAAAATGTCTTTATGGTAGTGTTTTGTATGAATTGGGTTGGACGAGATTGCATTTATCAAGGCAGTTGAGTATGAGGTTATAGTTGTAGAGAGCCACCATGATTAGATAATAATTATGAAGGAATACTGTACTGAACGTGATGTTTTTATATTTTTGTTTCTTGTATTTTTAATTTTCTGATGGGAAACTGTTTTACAATGAATGTATCCTTTTTTTTTTTGGTGAGCATATAAACAATCAGTTTTTATAGCATCTACGCTGATTTAAGATAGTGCATATAAACCTGTAGAGTTAAAATCATGCTTAATACGTACATACTTACACGTGTGTACGTGCATGTGTGTGTATAGTACATATGTAGCAGAAATACTATGTGCAGGCTATATGTATGTACAGAATACATTTCAGTATCAAATAACACTTTGTTGTTATAGGTGGCAGTCTGTATTTTTATATAATTCTTCTGGACTGGTTTCCTAAAGAAATAAGACTTGCATTATGCCAGTGTGTTTGTGTGACAGCTGTCTTGTAGCTTTGGAACCTGTTGGCCAGTTCACCCCAAATTGGGTGACATCTCTGTTGCACAGATTGATAGAAACTGTTTTAAAGAAATGAATTAAATAGAAGATGCTTTGGTGAAGATCAAATAGAGCTTTTGTGAGGGGAAATCACAATTGGAGTTGGTGTCCAGTTTCTCCCCCCACCCCCCCTTTTTTTAAAAAAAAAAAAAATCCCGAGCAACTCCTGAAGAGTATTACCCACCATAACTCACTGAAGACACTTAAATTGAATGGCCTGGAGATAAGGGGAAAGTATGTGTCATAGTTAGTAGCAGATTAAAAGATTTTTAAAAACCCAAACGAGTAGATGCTCAGTTTTCACAGTGGAGTCTTGGAAAGATCAGCCTTATGGCCTTTTGTACAGCTCAACGTTTTCTTAAATGATCTAGAAAAAGGAAGAAGAACAGAAGCCAAGTTTGCTGATTATGCTAGGTTATGCAATGAGCTATTATGAAGATCAGCTGTCACAAACTGCTGAAAGACCACACCAGCCTGTGTTGACAAGGTGGTAAGAGGACAAATGAAGTAAGTGTTAAAGGGAAAAGGCAGTTTCAATTCAAAACAGATACAGCAGATATCAAAAGAGGTACAAGAGCCATGGTAGTGAGCAATGGCAAGGAACAACGTCTTTGTAAGGAATGAGTAAATAGTGTGGGACTCTTGGCCTGAAAAAGAGACACAGATGGGGCAAGACAAAGGTCTGTGAAATCACAAATCACATGGAAAAGTTAAATAAGCAAGAACTGTGCATTATCATTCTATTTGTTAAACTCTGTCAGAGGATAAAGGGATTCAAAAAGCAATGGGACAGAGCACATATTTAGCAGGTAGGAACAAAAATACCATAGTATTTTTTCCTCATCTTGTCCCAAAAAAGGTGAAGTACATGCTAGGAGATGCGCTTTCTCTTAGTGTTTAGCTGAACTAGAGAGCCCTCCATAGGTTAAGTGCTTAAAAGTCCTGTCATTTCTTTGACTGTTTTTTGGGAGATGCGCTGGGGGTTCTTTTTGTGGTGGTTTGGGTTTTTTTCTTCCTTCCCCCCCTTTCTTTTTTCTTCTCCCCCCCCAGCATGGATCTTACCTCAGTGCCTAGATTTACTTGTCAGGATCTTACTCACAGGTACTACCATTTAAAGAGTCTTTTGATTCTGAACTGTAAAGGGAGGTTCAAATGGTGAGTTTTGGTTGTCAGCCTTAAAAGGGAACTCCTGTGTTTGCACAGAGAATTAGAAAGTCCTATGCTGCTTCAGTGATTCTAGGGCTACACTTTGGTAACTAGTGTCTGCCATCTGGAAATTAGTAAAGATATAGACTTTATTTTTTCTTGTATCTGTGGTGTCAATACGTAAATTTGAACTTTGTCCTTTCATCATCTGAACCATTATACAGGCATTAATATTTCAACCAAACATCATGCTTCAGATAAGCTTTGTAGCATGACATGTCTCTAAGTTATGTTCTACAACCAAGTCACCTATATTTATTGTCCCAATCTTTTTTTCCTTCTGTATTCCTTGCCTTTGCCATTTGCAGTTATACTGGCCCTTTTCCTTTTTGTCTGACATCCAGCAACATCCAACAGGTAGACAATGGAAATTTCCAGTTGAGGCTGCATTGCTTTGTCACCTTTCTGGGGTGTTTTGCTTTTGGTTTTGTTCTTTTAACCTGCTGATTTTTCAGTTTTGAGAGAAACTTCCTTCAAAGAAGTTGTAGTGGTAAAAGGTGAACAGTTAGTTGGCTTTTAGGTTCATGGACACGGTTCTTCCTCATTCGTAGGGAAAATGAGTTTACAGAGTAATGTATGTAGATGGATGTCTATGATTAGTCTATTTAGTAGATGGATTTGTGAATTTGAAAATACTAAGTGCTTTCATGTCCTGATTGAGCTTTAGGATTCTGTTACTGCACCAGGCAGGTGAAATGTTTTTTCCCAACTTTCAAGACTTGAAAATACCAAGCAGATCTCCCTGCTGGAAGTGTCTTTGATTCACACTAAATTGTGACAGCCACCTGTAACATGCCTTTGTTTTTCCTGAGCTCTGGGAGTCTTTTTCAGTTTCAGTTCATGAGGTCCTTACTAGTGTTTGAAGAGACTCAGTCAAGAAAGCCTATTTTACCATGACAGTTGTTCTCTAGTTCAAGAGAACTTTTTTTTTTTTTCTTCATGCATAAATGACTGATTATACTTCAAGGGTTAGGGTTTACCTACTTAATTCTGCAAACTTTCATCAAAGTGCTCTGCTTGCTTGCTGGGCTCTTGTGGATGTATTCTCAGTATTTACTCACTACTTCACCATGAAAGTCTTCAAATAATGGTGTGCTAATATATTTTTTGTGTAGTGTTTTAATTAAAAAAAAAATCAAACAAGATCCTAGGTGTGCATTACAATGGCTATAGGGTAAGCATTTGCCTCTATAGCAGATACAATGTAATAGTTAAAAAAGTAGGCTTTATTTAAACTCTTAGTTAAGAGAGCAAGTATGACTAGACCTTGCTTGCTCAGCTGCTTAGTCAGGATGGCAGACATGCAGTTGGAATAGTACTAAAGACTGGAATAGCCCAAAAGATGTGCTGCTAAGGTGTACTCCTCTTAAGATTTCAGCTGTTAAGTTTTCTTAGATTTCTGTTGGGCATTTTTAATTATGATTTTGGGGACATCATAAATTAGTTAATTTAGTTTTTTCAACTTTTTTTTTTTTTTTTTAAAGCAAGGGTGTTAAGAAATCCTAAAGAGGTCTTGGGAAAAAAAAAGGTTTTGTAGAATTAGTCTCAAAACTGGCTGAACTATTTTGATTAGGATGTTATGGTAGACATCTAATACAGAAAAGTTTGTTCATATTATTAAGAAAACTTGCAAGCAACTAAAAGCAACTGTCCTAAAGTGAGGAAAATTAGATAATACTAATTGTGCCTTTGTTATTTTAATAACTACTGCACCCATATAAAACTTAAGTGATTAAAAAGCCCCAAGTGCTGCTTTTGCCTTCAAAATGAAAACAACACAGATTTTAAAGATTTAAAAGAAAACCCAAACTTGAAAATCCTGGATTTCGATTCTTTCTTTCTATAGTCTAGTATGGTAGTTCCCATACTGTGATTTTTTTTTTTTAAGACAAAAACACAGTATGGGCCTTGTTGCTACACCTCTTCTTTTGTGTCTTATTTTATTCTCTCATGCCACTCATAATTTTTATTCCAATCTAATAAATCCAGAAGAGATTATTAGCTTGTGTTCCGTGCTGTGCCATAACTGAATTTAAATGCTGGTGTTCCTCACCAGGTGGGAAATCAGTGGTCTAGTAAAAATGCCACTTGCTGGAAATGCAAATTTTATTTATTTATTTTTTTTTATCCTATTACTCCTTTTTATATGTCTTGGGCATAGCCTCCGATAGGTTACACTGCTTAATTCAGTGAGGCTTTATTAGCATAATAATGCCTTTAACAGTTGCAAGAAGAAAGGGATACAGGGGAAGAAGGTTCATCCCACACAAATATTTGCTCCTTGTTTTCTGTGAATTGATCCTCTTGACATGTTTGTTGGTAGTGCCTGTTTTGCATGCAACAGCAAATTACTGTATCCCAAACTACTGTCTTTTCTCTCAGAAGCATGTCTTTAACTTTTTTATGAATATTAGTGTGTGTTCTGTTGTTGAGAAAAATCACTTTCTTGCATTTGGATTTTGAATATTGTCTTAATTTTTCTGTTAAGCCAAGTCACAAATTGTACCACTCTGAGTCCTATGCTCAGTTTATATCTCAGATTTCCTTGTGTTTCATGAATATAGCAAGAATGTCAGCCTGTTTCATTGTTCTGTGACAGTTTGCTGTATTGCTCTTTCTGA